GGATGAAAATTTGGTACTGCCCCATATAAATCTCTCTAATTTTGAGTCAGTTCTAAACTGAAGGAACTGAAACAAATTTTGAAGGGTTTGTATGGGATGTTATCAAACTTTGATCCCTTATATCTCTATCGGGAATTGCAATTCAGAGCTAATTTTTGGGATGAGGGCATCTTTTAGGATCCTTTATAAGAATATAACATCATATCCCATAATTTCAAAAAATTTATTTCTGTGACGACATCACTTTAGGACTCTATTGTCCCATATCATAGGTGCGCGCGAATCCCAAGACTTACGGTCTCCGTCCCCGATTATGGCTCCTGGTTAAATTTATCATATTTGTTTTCAAATTTTTGAATGCTGGGCCTCAGTAGCACTTGTGCTTAATCAGTTCTGAGGTAAAAAATGTTATTTGTTTCGTCCGTTCGTCCATTCGTCCATGCTTTAGCCATTCATTCTTTTGGTGGGCCGGTCGTTTCTAAGTCATTCTGGCAGCTTCAATGGATGAGGCCTAAACATCCTTGTGGAAACGGATTTAAAAGGTGATCTATTCTTTATGTATGCACGTATTAAAACAATGAACACACTGTTTTTTCATGGCAGGCTGTGGTCGACGCTTATTGGAAGCGACTGGAAGACGTCAAATTAGGTGGACCCACTTACCTCGCGCCCGTCATCCAACAGATAGCGGCATATGCTGAAAAAGAAGTATCCCAGTGTTCTCAGCACTACACAATAGGACTTGTTATTGCGGATGGCATCGTGAATGACGTAGATAATTTGATTGACAAGTTAGTTGACGTTGGAAACTTGCCCCTTTCGGTAGTTGTTGTGGGCGTTGGACCTGCTGATTTTAAATTAATGGTAAGAGTTGTGTTCATTGTGTCAAAGCTTGTTACAGGTTACTTCTCTAAGAAATTCTTGTAAATCTGAAGTGATTGTAAAAATAATGGGAAAACCTGAATAGACGCCAATTAAGAGTCCAGACAAGAAACAAGCAATCGAGATTTTACGTTCTTGTATTGTTGTTGTTTTAGATGGTAATACATGTTTCACTTAGTGATTTCGACTTTTTTTCTTTGTCATGTATTGCATGAAATTTCTCCCCAAGCTTTCCGGTTTTTATTGAGTTATTTGTTGTAAAAATCTGGAACTTCAACACAGTTTAACCTTGATTTTTTGGTTTGTTGCTCAGGATGAACTATTTTCAAAAAGTAAACGGCAACTGAAATCAAAAGAAGGAAAGACGTTGGAACGCAGTAACACAGATTTTTTATCACTAAGAAGACACGTCACAAACCCGGGAGTGAACGATTCAATGGTGAGTATAATCACTCTGAAATGTAAAACCAAGCCAAACGGATATTTTATGACAAATAAGTGGCCTAAGCAGTTCCTAGTCACCAGGGGCGCGATCCTCTGTTGGTCGGCAGCAAGAATAACGCCCTCTCTGGCCGGTCCCCGATTTCTTGAGCGTGAGCAGAGTGCCCATTTTCCAATGTACTGAGTCAGTCCCATTTGAGCGGAACAATCTCTGCGTAAAGAGACTGTGCTGAGCCTCCGTGAATCGCGCACATTTTTTCGATCTAACCAGTGAGGGTTATTCTTGGGTCAGACCAAAAGGATCCCTGGGTACCAGAATTCCGTCGTCTGCTGTCAGCTGATTAAGGAGCTTTAGCAAAGCACGACGCGTACGGTGGAACCAAAGAGGAAGTCACTAAACAAAAGGTTAAATGAACAAGAAATGACCAAATTCTGCGTTTCCTTTGGAGAACGTGAACCGCGACGGCTAACTTTTCGAGTTGTCTTTTGGAATTGAACTTTGTCATTGCATATTTAGCCTGAACAAGTTTTTATACCAATAGGCGCACTGAACAGATCTACACAGTTGCGACATTCAAAGGTGAAATATAAGTCCATTTTCTACAAGGCGTCGTCCTCGGTGTGGCCGTCATCATTGCTAAAGCTCCCTAATTCGGTTTGTGGGGGACAGAAAAGGAGGAATGAGATTATCGTTTCAAAAGGTCTCCAAGACAGGTTTTGTCTCAAATTTGTTATCTCAAGCTTCTTTCGTCAAGATGGAGTGACATCGTTCCACGTTCTCTCGGGTGCTTGCACTATGGATAGGCTTTGCGAGTGCTTCAACAAAGATTTACCCAAAACGGCACTTACATGCTCGCTCCAGTGATATCCAAATCCACGGTTTAGGCGCGAAAACGTCCGCCAGGTCTATCACAATGTGGGTAGAGAATACGTCGGTACAGTAGAACCCCGTTAATCCGGTCACCAACGGGCCAAAAATATCTGACCGTGTTAACGGGTGGCCGTATTAAAGGGGTTTTTAAATAAGAAAATGACAGGCTGAGCTTTTCTTCGGGCCAGAATAAAGTGGCCATAATGACGAGGTGGCCGTATTAAACGGGGTGGTCGTAAGGCGGGGTTTCACTGCATTAGTATGACATATGCTGCCTCAGGTAGGAGGGGTGACGGAAAGAAGAAGATGTATTCGATTCAAGTAATGTGCTGATGAGAAATTGCATATTAAGTCAGTATGTAGGGTACAATTTGCATCAGAGTTAATGCTATTTATCAGTATTACTTTATTTGTTTTGCCTTGTCTTGTTTTTTTTCTTATGTTTGAATTTCTTTTCTCTAGGCTCGTGAGGTCTTTGCGAATATTTCACAACAAATTGTTACATTTTTTAAATCTCGTGGAATTGTTCCCAACCTTCCGACGAAAATGAACGTTAAGCAACCCTGGGACGAGTGCAGTAATGCATCTGATGTACAACTGACAAGACCGTCTTCTCCGCGTATGCGTAAG